TACATCCTTTTTTTCCCCACAAATTGAGCTTTCTTTCGGTGGTATTTGATCGCTTGTGCGGTTTTTATTTCTTGCGCTATAAAAAAAAAAGGCTGACAATTTTGAGGAAAAAAAAACAATATTTTGGACTCCCAGACCTCCCAGAATCCTCCTCACCTCTCCGGTCAGAGATTTCCTGTCTGGGTGGAAGTGAGATCATCACCTTGTGGAGTTCGGAGGAACTGCAGACCCGAGAAATATCTCATCATTTAACCTCCCTAGCGGGTAATCTGCTGGAGGTCCTGGTGACCTATCAAAGTGGTGTCCTGTCTTAAGGCGAGCTGACCCTGTGGGGTCTTGGCAAGGAGGTGAGGGGCCATCACGGCTAAAGTTTGGATTCACACAGTGTGGACACGTGTGACACATGCATGAAGATTAAAAGGCTTGTTTGTTGCATTTGGACACTTTAATTCTTTTTTGGACTTATTATCATGTATAATAGATGGTTGTAGTGATTTTGATTGTCACGAATTGCACTTTATTCTCATTTTTAATACACGGGTTGCACAATTTTTGTATATGCACTATTTTGCACATACGTTTAGTACCTTGTGGTATTATTTAGAGCACTTTGAATAGTCAGTGTGCACTTTATATTTATATGTATATTGGGTTTATTTAGAGATAGCGCTGCACTTTATATGTATTTATTCATTCACTTGTGTTGGTAAGGAGTTTCGTGTCAGCAGCTTGGTAAATAGGGCCCCATTTCTAGCACAGTTCTTGCATTTAAAAATGCTTTGTTGATGTCAGAGGAGAATGGGTAGACTGGTTCAAGATGATATAAAGGCAACAGTAACTCAAATAACCACTCATTACAATCAAGGTATGCAGAATACTATCTCTGAAAGCACAACATATCGAACCTTGAAGCAGATGGGCTACAGCAGCAGAAGACCACACCAGGTGCCACTCCTGACAGCTAAGAACAGAAAACAGAGGCTCACCAAAATTGGACAATAGAAGATTGGAAAAATATTACCTGGTCTGATAATTCTTGATTTCAGCTGTGACATACAGATGGTAGAGTCAGACTTTGGTGTAAACAACATGACAGCATTGATCCATCCTGTCTTTCATCGTTTCAGGCTGATGGTGTAATGGTGTGAGGGATATTTTCTTGGCACACTTTGGGCCCCTTAGTACCAATTGAGCATCGCTTAAATGCCACGGCCTACCTGAGTATTGCTACTGACCATGTCCATCCCTTTATAACTACAGTGTACCCATCTTCTGATGGCTACTTCCAGCAGGATAATGCACCATATCACAAAGCTCAAATCATCTGAAACTGGTTTCTTGAACATGACAATGAGTTCACTGTACTCCAATGGCCTCCACAGTCACCAGATCTCAATCCAATAGGGAACTTTTGGGATGTGGTGGAGTGGCATATTTGCATCATGGATATGCAGCTGACAAATCTGCAGCAACTACGAGACGCTATCATGTCAATATGGACCAACATCTCTGAGGAATGTTTCCAACAACTTGTTGAATTTATTGTATGCCACAAAGAATTAAGGCAGTCCTGAAAGCAAAAGGGTGTCCAACCCGGTACTAGCAAGGTGTACCTAATAAAGCAGCAGGTGAGTGTATAAGTTTTGCATAGTAATTATTATTGTATGGAACATTAGTTTTCATGTGATTGACCAGTAGCCCTAAACTGAAAGTCCATGGTGTGCAAGAGCATTAAAGCTTGGTATTGCCCATGCCACGACCTTGTGGAGGTGGCATGGCAATGGGGCACAGCAGGGGCACTGAAAGTAATAACAAGTATGCGTAAACATGTCCAAATGTTTTCTGTAAGGAACTTGTGTTTGGTTAAGTGGCTCATCTTCTGAACTTCAAAATGAACCAAAACTTTCAGGTAACTTTTGCAAAAATGTCCTTCAAACATTTCAGTGGTGCTTACATTTTTGAACCTACAATGATTTGACAACAATTCACACCTTCAACCTTGTAAATCAAAAAATGAACATTAGTGAAGCCTTCCTGACCCCAAGGATGGGATTATGTAACCAATGCATTTTCCCACCTCTCTTCCTGACCCTAGACAATAATGTCTGCCTTTGCATAGTAATTGGATCATTGTGTTTGTACTACTGGTTGGGATAAAAATGTTGTGGTATGTACCTGACACTCATTAGAACTGAAGAAGTGGCTTCACATAAGCCAGAAAATATCTTCAGCATTACAGAACAAGTCCAGTTGAATGTGCCGAACTATTACTAGCTATACCATAACTTGGTATGACTCTTTTCTGGGTCCTCTGTATCAACATTATTTATGCCATACATATTTTACAATTTTGCATACATTTGACCAAGGGGAATTTTTAATTCTATTTTTCCCTTTATTTTTGCTTGGTAACACACTTCCTGTCCTATGGTGGCACCTTTATCAATGGAGGAGCAACAGAGACACCCTTGGATAGCAGCATTATCTGGAGAGGGTAGTGTGAGATGGACTAGTGCAGGGATGTCCAACCTGCGGCCCATGGACTGGATGCGGCCCAGGACAGCTAGGAATGGTGCCCAACACAAAATCGTGACCTTACTTTAAAATGTTTTTATTTTTTTTTTTAAATGCATTTACTTAGCGCACACATGCGGCTGAAGAAAAATTTGACATGGTCTCTTTACTGGACTTTTATCACTTATCTTCCCAAAGAAAAATCTCCCACTCTCCACAATCACGCCTAATTCATGTCATCAGGTTTTGGCAGCACCTATAGTTGTTAGCAACTATTGTCAAGGAAGCACACAAAGGGCAAAATAGAACCAAAATATCTGATGAGCACCTTGAGAATTCATTGAGAACTGCTACTACATCCATCAAACCAGATATTGATTATTATTATTATTATACAGGATTTATATAGCACCAACGGTTTGCTCAGCGCTTTACATTATAGTGGGAGACAATACAGTAACAATACAGTTCGATACAAGGGGGATTTGAGGGCCCTGCTCCTTAGAGCTGACCATCTAGTAGGGCGGGGTGAGTGGTACACTAGGTAGTCACTGTGGGGGATGGAGTGGTTGGAAGAGTAGAGGATTCCAGAATTAGCAGAGGGCGGGATAGGCTTCCCTGAAGAGAAAGGTTTTCAGTGGTCGCCGAAAGGTAAGTAGAGTAGGTGATAATCTGATAGATTGGGGTAGGCAGTTCCAGAGGATGGGTGACGCCCCGGAGAAGTCTTGGAGATGAGCATGGGAGGAGGAGATGAGGGAGCTAGAGAGTAAGAGGTCTCGCGAGGAGTGGAGTGTACGGTTTGGGTGATATTTAGAGATAAGATCGGTTATGTAAATTGGGGCAGTGTTGTGGATGGCTTTATATGTCATTGTTAGAGTTTTGAATTTTATCCGTTGGGCAACTGGGAGCCAGTGGAGGGATTGGCAGAGAGTGGAGGCGGATACGGATTTATTGATGCGTCAGTTTATCAAAACAGTGTCAAATATTGCACTAGTTTTATGTTGCCCTCTTTTACTTTTAAAATAAAAAATATTTTTTAAAAAAAACGTAAGTTCTATTTCTCAGACAGGTAAATTATTTATATTAGTGATATCTGCCTGACTTTCAGTCCAAGCTGGACCAATGTAAGTATGTATAACATGCCAATGCTTGGAATTATCCTTTAAAAAATATGAAAAACAGACTTACTGGCTGGATGATCAGATGAAAATTAAAAAAAAAGAAAGAAAACAAACACAGCCACCACATTTCAAGGATTGGTAGTCTGCAATATAATACATTTTTTGTTTTTGGGCTTTACGACTAGGGTGCAAAACTCTTACTTCCAGCACAAAACGTTTTCGGGACTGAAAACCAGAACATGTTTTTGTTTTAAAGCAAATTTAAACCATGACTAAAGGGAGATGAACTTGAATGCCTTTAATCTCTCTATACTGCTAATAGTTTCTAAGTAAACTTGTAGGTTTTAAATTTAAACGAAAAAAAAGTGCATTCGCCATCCGAAACCATTTATCACACCTATCCAGATGTGTTCTTAAAGTCTGCACTCTATTTGCATATAACATTTTTCATACAATTAGATACTAATTATCACATTAGGCATCTGTGAGGTATTGTGTCAAACGCTAAATTCACTTCCTTGACGGCCACCGTCTGTTCAAGTTTCTACTTATATCCTCATAAAAAGAGCAGATTTGTTTGACAGCACCTGTCCTTTATAAATCCGTACTGATTAACACAGCATGCGTTCCTATAGGTGGTCTCTCAAATAACTTTCTGAAAACAGAAGTTATTGCTGAACTCAAGGCAAGTTATATACACTGACGAAATACATACATGGCATCTATTTTATTTGCCAAATGATTTGTATTCTGTCCATCCATCCCCAAGATTTACACAGTTCTGTCACACAGCAAAGCTCTGTCTGGCAGGACAGTAGACTTGTTTTTTTATATACTGCAGTTAAATGACAAATTTACTTACTTATTTAACCACTTGCCCTCCAGAAGATGTATCCCTCTTTATGACCATGCCATTTTTTGCTATACGGCGCTTTGCTACTTTGGTAGCTGGTTGCGGGAAAGAATTACAGGAAAATATCTTAGGCACCCATCTAACTGCTGTCTCCTATGGGGGTACTGCTCAACCGCTTTCCCGCTACCCTATAGCAGATATACTGCTACAGGGCGGCAGGGATGCGCAAAATCACACATATATATATATATATATATATATATTTATATATTTATATATATATATGCATTTATGGGTCTGGGGTGCTCGCAGCCTACACGCGCCGCCATTCGCGGCTGTCAATCACCGGGTCCTGTCTGGTGATTACTTGCCGGAGCCCGGAGATTGCCGAGCACCTCCGACGCGGGGGGCGGGGGGGGGGGAGAACTATTTGTAAACAGTCAGCTTGTGCACACTGCCATAGCACAGCCATGCAAAGCAGTGTGCTTACATTGAAGCACAAACACACAGACCCTAGTAAAGCAGCACACAGTTAACCCTTTGATCGCCCCACATGTTAACCCCTTCCTGCCCAGTGTCATTAGTACAGTATCAGTGCTTCTTATTAGCACTGATCACTGTATTGGTGTCACTGGGGATGTCAGTGACACCAAGTCAGTTCCCACCAGTGTCAGAATGCCTGCCACAGTCCCGCTATAAGTCGCTGATCGACACCATTACTAGTAAAATTTAAAAAAAGAAAAATCCCAGTATATGTACCAACATTTAAACGCCATGTAAACCAATTAATTTACACATATTGGGATTTTTTTTTAGCAAAGACATGTAGCAGAATACATTTTGGCCTAAATTTATGATGAAATTAGATTTTTTTTTTACTGAACATGTTTAATAGCAAAAAGCAAAAAATATTGTTTTTTTCTCAAAATTGTCGGTCTTATTTTTTATAGAGCAAAAAAATAAAAACCTCAGAGGGAATCAATTACCACAGAAAGAAAGCTCTATTTTGGAAAAAAAAAGGATGTTAATTTCATTTGAGTGCAGCGTTGCATGACCGCGCAATTGTCAGTTAAAGTAACGGAGCACCATAACGCAAGAAAATGGCCTGGTCAGGAAGGGGTGTAAATACTCTGAAGAGCAAGTGGTGAAAGAAGAAAACACTACAAATGGCTCCCAAAACATCCCCCTATCCACAAATATCACAGGGAATTTCGTCAAGCTGATGTGTGTTAAAGATACTGTAAAATTTGTGAAAAAAAAGGATCATTACATCTTAACAGATCATTGTCAAGCAATCACCTGATAATTTGAAAAGCCATTGGTGTTATGCTAACAGCTTGATTTACCGCTCTTAATTTGTGTTAAATAAAGTATTCCCCGTCTTCTACGGATGGAAATGATACAATTCTCACACTCTACAAAAGAATAGTGGAAGTCTAGAAACAGCTGAAACGTAACTGTAACTTCAGCAAAGTAGTAAACATATAATCTGTCTAGCACATCAGCTCTGCAGTTACAGACAGTCACACAATAATGTGGAGATTCCTATCAAAACATTCCTTCTTATAAAATCTGCCCTAGGCATCTCTTTTTTAAGTTGCAGACTAAACGGAGAGGATTTCAGGGTTGTATTAAGATGGAATATCAAATATATTATGTGTTATGAATATAGAGGCGAAGCAGAGTATCAACAGAGCGATTCAGTCTGCAAATCTGGAGTTGGAGCCATTTTTTATTTATTTTTTTTAATTAAGCTAGTGAAAAACATTATGGACCATTTCCATTGATACATTTTGCATGCTTTTTTCCTGCTGGTTTGCATGTGCTTTGCTTCCAATTTGCATGCGCTTCGCTTCCAATTTACATACGCTTTACTTCCAGTTTGCATGCGCTTTGCGCTTTGCTTCCAGTTTGCATATTCTTTATTTCCAGTTTGCATATTCTTTGCTTCTAGTTTGCATATTCTTTGCTTCCAGTTTGCATATTCTTCGCTTCCAGTTTGCATTTGCTTTGCTTCCAGTTTGCATGCGCTTTGCTTCCAATTTGCATGCGCTTTGCTTCCAGTTTGCATGCGCTTTGCTTCCAGTTTGCATATTCTTTGCTTCCAGTTTGCATAATTTTGCTTCCAGTTTGCATATTCTTTGCTTCCAATTTGCATGCACTTCGCTTCCAGTTTGCATTTGCTTCGCTTCCAGTTTGCATACGCTTTGCTTCCAGTTTGCATGCGCTTTGCTTCCAGTTTGCATATTCTTTGCTTCCAGTTTGCATGCACTTCGCTTCCAGTTTGCATTTGCTTCGCTTCCAGTTTGCATACGCTTTGCTTCCAGTTTGCATGCGCTTTTGCTTTTGCTTCCAGTTTGCATGCATTTTGCTTCCAGTTTGCATGTGCTTTGCTTCCAGTTTGCATGCGCTTTGCTTCCAGTTTGCATGCGCTTTGCTTCCAGTTTGCATGCATTTTGCTTCCAGTTTGCATGTGCTTTGCTTCCAGTTTGCATGCGCTTTGCTTCCAGTTTGCATGCGCTTTGCTTCCAGTTTGCATGCATTTTGCTTCCAGTTTGCATGCGCTTTGCTTCCAGTTTGCATGCGTTTCGCTTCCAGTTTGCATGCGCTTTGCTTCCAGTTTGCATGCGCTTTGCTTCCAGTTTGCATGTGCTTCGCTTTCCAGTTTGCATCTACTTTGCTTCCAGTTTGCATGTGATTCGCTTCCAGTTTGCATGCACTTCGCTTCCAGTTTGCATGTGCTTCGCTTCCAGTTTGCATGTGCTTCGCTTCCAGTTTACATGTTCTTTTCTATCAGTTTGCATGCGCTTTTCCAGTTTGCATGCGTTTCACTTCCAGTTTGCATGCATTTTGCTTCCAGTTTGCATGCATTTTGCTTCCAGTTTGCATGCGTTTTGCTTGTACTTTGCATGAGTTATGCTTTTAAATTGTATATATTTTGCTGCCGAATTGTGTGCATTTCTCTTGCGGTATTCAAGCATTTTGCTTGCAGTGTGTGTGTTGAGGGATTAAAAATTATGCTGTATGTGTTTAAGCGGAGGAAAGACTACCAGCTGCATTTTTTTAGACCCGCAAAAACACAGATAAGAAATCACTGAATGAAATTATACAAACTTTTCCTTGCTTTATCTCTGCAGCTTGGTTTATCTTAAAAGCTGTAATGTACATTTGAACTATTTTTTAAACCCAACAATCTTTCTGTGTGTTGTAGAAGGGACACCACATTCAAAATGGAAATAATAGGAGCCTGTAAGGTGTGTCAGCTACTCACTTCTTTTATATTTTGGATACTTTGACAGTGAGATCTCCCTGTATGTCTCCTGATTAGTTTTTTTTGTATAATATCCTTTTCATAAATTTCCTATATAAATACATTAGTATTTATTATTATTATTATTATTATTATACTACAGGATTTTTATAGCGCAGTTATAGAACAGTTTGCTCAGTGCTTTACAATATAAAGGGAGACAATACAGCAACGATACAGGTCAATACAAGAGGGATAGGAGGGCCCTGATCCTTGGAGCTTACAATCTAAGAGGGAGGCGCTGGTGGTACCCACATGGAAGAAAAATATATTTTAAAAATATTCTTCCCAAATATATTGACGTATAGAAATACTACAATTTTGGCTATATTCAATATATTTCAATATATATGTATATATATATATACATACATATACACTGTATGTTGAAATGCGTTTTTATTACAACATATATGAAACATATTTTTAAAAATACATTTTCAAATATACTGTATGTCTTTTCAAATACATTTAATCTACATTTTTGGAATGCATTTACAAATATATGCAAAAATATATGTTAAAATGACTTTTTCATATGTTAAAAAAATCTGAAGAATATATATAAGAATATATATATAAGAAATTTTTATAAATATTTTTATTATATTTTGTAACATATAAAAAATGCATTTCAACATGCAGTATATATATGTATTGAAATATATTTTTAAATATATTGAATATGGCCAAAATTGTAGAATGTCAAATATATGTTAATATATTTTGGAAGAATATTTTTAAAATATATTTCAAATATATTTTTTCTTCCATTTGGCTACAAAAGGTAATAACTGTGGGGGATGAACTGATAGGAGGAATAGAAGATTCCATTACTAGCTGTAGGCAGGATAGGTTTCCCTGAAGAGATAGGTTTTCAGGGATCACCGAAGAGTGGGCAGAGTAGTCGATAGCTGGATAGATTGGGGTAGAGAGTTCCAGAAGATGGGGGAGGCTCTGGAGAAGTCCTGGACATGAGCATGGGAAGAGGAGACAAGGGAGCTAGAGATGAAGAGGTTGTGGGAGGAGCAGAGAGTACGGTTTGGGTGATATTTGGAGACAAGATTGGTGATGTAATTTGGGGCAGAGTTATAAATGGTTTTATATGTTATTGTTAATGTTTTGAATTTTATGAATGGGAAGCCAGTGGAGGGATTGGCAGAGAGGGGTGGCAGATATGGAACGGTTAGTAAGGTGGATGAGTCTGGCAGCAGCATTCATGATAGACTAAAGAGGGGATAGCCTGCGATGAGGTAGGCCATTGAGGAGGGCCAATGAGTCAAGGTGAGAGATAACAAGGGAGTGAAGACGTTGCTTAGTAGGTGGTATATATACTGGATTTTTTTTTTTATACTACTAATGGCGGCGATCAGCGACCTATAATGGGACTGCAGTGGGCATTCTGACACTGGGGGGGGGGGGGGGGGACTGACTGTCACTGACATCCCCTGTGACACTAATACAGTGATCAGTGCTAATGACACAGGAAGGAGTTAACATGTGGGGCAATCAAAGGGTGGGATTATACCTAGCACCCTGGCATGAGGGGAGGGACAGATTTATTTATTTATTTCAGGTACTTATATAGCACTCTCAATTTACACATATATATTGTACATTCACATCAGTTCCTAACCCTCAAGGGGCATACAAGATAAGGTTCCTAACTCACATTCATACATACACATACTAGGGCCAATTTAGACAGGATCCAATTAACCTACCAGCATGTCTGGAGTGTGGAAGGAAACCCATGAAAGCACAGGGAGAACATGCAAACTCCATGCAGGAGGCGCCATGGTCAGAAATCAAACCAATGACCCAGTTACTGCAAGGCAGATGTGCTAACCACTAAGCCACTGTGCCACCCCATGATGACTGATGGTTGTATTATTGATTTTGATGGAGAAGTGGAGGGGGCACGGGCTGGAGGGAATAGTATGAGCTCCATTTTAAAAAGATTTGGTTTGAGGGCGTGGAGTGACATCCATGCCGATATGTCAGTTAGTAGTGATATGTCAATTAGTACATTATTACACATAAATAAATGGGGAAGGAAAAATCAAGGAGAAGAGAGGAAACGTAAGTAAGGAGTAGAGAAAAAAAAGTGTGTGTATGTGGGGGGGTTTAATACAATAAATACCATTGTAAATTTGGAGTAATACATACTGTCAATTTTAGATTATTTTTACTATTTAATGTATATGGAGATATACGAAATGGGTGTTTCAACCAATAGAAACAACAAACTCGATGGGGGAGTATAAGCAAACGTTTCAATAATCCTATACATAATCTAAATGAATTCTCTGGAGAGTAAGGAATCCATGTAGAATTCCTCACAACTCCTCTTACACTTATGAACCCAACTTTCTGCCTCCATAACGTCTCCTGATT